ATCATACGACGGTTGAATTTAATGTCAGCTATATGTAACTCTGCGTTTTAAGAATATTATGAAATTACTGAGGATGGCCAGATTGTGGCCGAAACATCTAATGTTTTAATTAATGTAATGATAATTAAATATCACAGACTATAACTTGTACGGTGGTTTTTTATGCTCTTCTTTTTATATGTTTAAAATATACATATATTTAACATATATATATATATATATACATATATATATATATATATGTATATATATATATATATATATATATGTTTAAATATATAAATAAATATACATGTATATGAAATATATAAACATAAAGAATGCGCGTCAAAATGATTGATAAAAGTAAAAGAGAAAATCATGGAAGATTGTCAATCTGTATCTCTTTCCATTCACCAGTGTAACGGGAGAGAGAATGAGAGGGAGATTGGTTATCTTCCACGATCCCTTTTTCTCATTTTATTGTCGACACATTTGAAAAAGTTGTATAACTAATTTCTCAATTCTATATACTTCTGTATATTTTTAGACATGACTAAATATTAATGCTTTATATGAAAAATACATAAATACCAGACACTCAACACTAGACACTTCTCAATTAAAAAATGTCACATTTTACACTGTAATAATTGCTTATATTCTGTTCTTTACCTTTGTTATCTATTAAGTAAATTGACTTATTTTCTGACGTCAGGGACGCGATGCTTATCGAGTGTGCAATGCCCGGTCAGAAATGAAATCGACATTGAATCGAAATTTAAGTGATTAATTATTGGTTCGCGTGAAAAGTCGTACATCCCTCAGTAAGAGGGGAAGATGGGGTGACATTCGATTGTCCCTATTGAAAGACGTACTTCTCAAGAATAAGCGAGCAACGCTTAAACTAATTTATTTCCTAGCGTCAGAGAATAAGCGAGCCACGCGTAAACTGATTTATTTTCTAGCATCGCTTAGTTATCTATTAATCTAAATTGACTTATTTCCTGATGTCAGGGACGCGATGCCTAGCGAGCAACGCATGACCAGGCATGCGTTACATCGCGTCCCTGACGGAAATAAATCAGTTACGTAATAGATAATAAAGGCAAAGAGCAGAATGGTGTGCAATTGCTGCTGTGTAAAGTGACATTTTGTTTGTTGAGAAGTGTCTAGTGTCGAAGTTGGTTGGTATTTATTAGTTGGTGTCTCTTTCATATAAAGCATTAATATTTTAGTCATATCTAGAAATATACAGAAATATACAGAAATTAGTTATACAACTTTTTCAAATGTGGTCGACAATAATGAGAGAAATGGATCGTGGAAGACGACCAATCTTCCATTCTCTCATTTTCTCTCCCATTACACCGTTGAAAGAGATACATATTGAAAGTCTTCCATGATTCCTCTCTCTTACTTTCAATCATTTTGACATACGGATCGCGCAGTCCATTCTCTATGTCTTTAATGTACAATATATGTATAATATATTTTTATTCATATACACAAAAGAAAAAAATAAATTTTTGATTCACATATATCTTTATTCTTGAATTTACTTTCTATTTACTTTCATTTAAGTATAAAATGTTCTTTTTACTATTAATGTTCACTGACATTAATAAATAATTTATGCAAAGTCTACTTTGTTCTTAAAATTGTATTCTTATTTCTAAAATCATTATATGGTTCTAACAAACTCAATCGCATTATTAAGAAACGATTTATTCTTGGATTAAGAATCATAAATTTAAAAATTCGCAGGCGGTGTGTATAAGGACCCCTTAATAATATCAAGATGTTGGAAGTGTATGGGTGTAGTGAATGACGATTGATGGTGGTTTTGTGAGTGAACTGTTGCATTCGTGGAACATACTTCTAAATGTGGTTCAATTTTTAAGGATGGATGAAATATTCAGCTCGTCCTAATGTTTCTGTCAGTTATATTGCAAATGGGAATGCGCGATCAGCCAGTTGACTTTGTCACTGCGACGAAGACGCACCTATACACGCGGGCGGATTCGCGGATCTGCTACTCACAGTTAAATAGATGAGATGATCAATGAATCCATCGCGGCGGATCCGCCTGTATATGCAGCCAGCGTTCTCTAACATAGTGACGAAGTTGACCGTGTGATTACATCTTTATTTGCAATACAGCAACGGAGGTTGGTAGAACGGTTTCCGCATTTCATTTGCCTTAGCTACATTAGTAAAGGGTATAATCCAAGTTTAATTCAGTTTTTCCTTGGGATCTTGTATCCCGTGCACATTAAGAGGCATGCTCTATAAATGTGGCACTTCATTTACAAAACTATCGTCACTTACACACTGCAGCATTGGTTTCTGTCATCTTGATGTTATTAAAAAGCATACTGAGGGTTTGAAATAAGTTGACAAAAAATATCATTGAAGAAAAAATAATACTAATATAAGCATATTTAATGTTGAACGAGTGCAACTTTATTCTTTTATTGAAATAAAATTTGTTTTTAATTAAGAATAAAATTTATTTTTATTTTATGAATAATTTATTGTTAATTCAGAAATTATTTATTCTTGGCACTATTCTATGCATAAAATATTCTTGGATTAAAGCATTTATGTATTTCCTTAAGAATCATTTTTCATCATTTTTTGTGTGTATTTAAACATATTTGTATATATATATATATATATAGGGTAAGGTCGCCTATTATGGGATTCACAATATGATATAGGGGATTTCTGCTAAATTAATAAGCACATGTGATTTTATTATGAACTTGTTACTCATAGAATGAAACATATTTAGTAGAGAAAACTCATTATTAGATCATGCGTGTAGTTGTGAAAAAAGATTTTTGAAATTGAATGTTGTAGAATTTTATTAAGGTTAATCTTCAATTTTGTTTTATTATAAAATAAATAAATATTTCATAATAAAGTCTGTATACAGTGACAGAGTAAAGTCGTATTAATAGGAAAACATATGACATAATGATTTGTTTAACTATAAAGATTAGATTAGATTTGGTGATCATGAAACCGCCAGGCATGGAAGTCGTAATATGAGATACTCAAGATATTCCTAGTTATATGAGAGCATCTAAACGATTCAATATCTCAAATCTATTATTGAACGAAATGTTAAAAAAACGATTCTATTGTTAAGATTACTCACACACACACACACACACACACACATATACACATACTCACATACACAGCCATCAAAAAATTATATAATTATTATGTAAAACATTCAAACTTTGTTGCTACTTGCATGTAATATAATAAAAGCCTGTATAAAAAGTTTATCTTTATTTGTTCCTTAGTTTTCTGTTATGAGATACCATCTTATACAAGAAAACCCTTGTATTTTATATAAGGAACCCATTTTTTAAATGAGCAAAATCAGCACTTTCGATAAAAAATTTCACATACAACAAAGTATAGTTACTATCGATCATTAACTTTAGGTGAAAAATCTTGAATATATTTTTCATAAAATTAACAAGAAAATAGGAGTTAAGGCTGCAAATTAAATAAATTACAAATCTTTTAAAAAAGGTGATCTCACATTAGGTGACTTTACTCTATATAAACATATTGCTATATGCATATACATATGTACATATTAAATATATGTATATTTTATTTCGAATCGGTATCACTAAATCTGTAAGAATTAAGGATTCTTTCTTCAGAATGTAAGAATTTTGATTCAACACACATCAATTATTTATATAATTGATGTGTGTTGAATCAAAATCCTTATATTCCCAATAAAATGAATAATAAAAAAAAACCGTACTACCAATATTGAATAAAAAGGATATGATAAGTTTTGAATGTTTTTAATATGAAGAAGTTCCGAGGTGTATGTACAAATTATATTAAAAAATTGTTTAAATGGATTCGAATGGTATGTCGATCACAGGAAACAACTCGTACATAATCATTATTAAAGATAATAAATCTAAACATTGTTAAATAAGATAACAACATGTGAAATGAAGCAACAAAAATTGTATTGTTAGTACTTGTATATTAATACTCTCTTGTAAACATATATAACTATCCTTTTTTCACTCTATCAAAATTCCTCGCAAAATTCAATAAATTTATTCACACCGTAATTCAACGAATTCATTGAAGTGAATAAACGCTATTGTATGAACATATTGGAACATATTAGAGCATGGGACGCGAATAAACCTAATAATGAAATAAAATAATTTAAATTTTATAAAAATTAATAAAAATAAATTGTACATATATTGAAAAATAAAGACAAAAAAACATACACAAAAAAAGCATACAGAAAAAAATATAGGAAAATTAGGAAAAATATTAAATTAAAAATGTATATTTGTATAAAACAATATTATATAATTATATATCTAAGAAAATATTATGAGAAAGCTAATATAAAAGACATATACGTTTTATACATATACTAGATGGGATGAAAAGTAACCTCCTTGACCGTCAGAATGCGCCACTACTGCAAAAAAGTTTATGGTGCCTTGTAGTCCGTTCATATTTAGGCAGACATGCCAAGTGGCAGTGCGATACTGCCCTTAGTTTTGTTTTGAGAGCTGATTGTTGTGACGTGTTTGCGAAAACGATTTTCGTTCTCTCATAAAACATTATTTTTTGAGAGGCAAAACGGCGAAGGAAACAAAAGAAAAGTTGGATAAATATTATGTGGCTAATACTCCGTCAGATTACACCGTCAAATATTGGTTTCGAGAGTTTCGTGGTGGCCGCAACTCCACTACCGATGAAGTCCGCAGCGGCAGGCCCTCCGATGCGGTTACCGAGGAAAATGTCAAAAAAATACATGAAATGGTGTTGGCTGACCGGAAAGTGAAGGTGCGCGAGCTAGCAGATGCTACAAAGATTAGTACTGAGCGAACACGCCATATTTTGGGCGAGATTCTGCATAAGAAAAAAATTTTTTTCATTCCCAAGGAGGTTACTTTTCACCCCACCTAGTATGTCCAAAAAATAAGTTTAAAATACAATAAATAAAAAGAAATTTTTCTTGCTTGGTTTTCTATGATACTTTTGTTTATTTTTTTACTTTAACTTCTTCACAAAAATTAGACCAATCTCTCGACGTTTCACACACAACATTTCACCAAACTGATAATACACGTAATACTTCCCTCTAAACTTTTACTCTGAACTATATATCCTTGAAAGACGAATTTGTGAGTGAAAGTGGAATCCTTGAAAGGAATATTAAAACGCTGATTTATATAGAGAGAGAAAGAGAGAGAGAGAGAGAGAGAGAGAGAAAGCAATAAAAAAAGGAAGAAAAGAGAGACGGGGCAACTTATTTATTTCAGGCATGCGCACTCCATTTTGACCAACATAAAATCAAAAGAGTTACGCTATTATATATACTATGTCATTACGTAATGAGACAATTAATATAATAAAATCTGTTGATTGTAGCATGAAGACAAGAGGAAATACACCAAAATATACTGAGGCATTTAATCTTGAGATTTGATTTAAAGACTAGAAGACTTTCAAGTTGCCACAACAATGTCGAGTTATTTCATTTTGTCGCTCCACCTTGTGTGTTGTATTTTAATCCTCGTGACAACATCGAAAGCATTATCAATTTTATTAATAGAGCCTTTTCCATCGCCCAGCCATCATGTCTGGACGACAAATTTGATTAAAGAATTGCTTCGAAAAGGCCATCATGTACATGTAATAAGCACACATGAGACTAAAATCAAAGATAAACTTGCGCAGAACTTGACGTACGATGTAAGTAAATATTATGGGACTTGAAACGTTTTGAATATAAATTAATTATTTTAAATTTGTGAAACAAATGCGAAAGAATGTAATCTTTCTGTTTTAATAGATTATTCGATATTGTAAATATCTCAAATCATTGTATTAGCTGAGCTCCCAATATATTTTCATATTTCTATATTTTTTTCATCAACAGTAAGAATATTCATCAAAGAATATTCATTATTTTCAGGTATTCGATGGTTTGATGAAAGCAATAGAAGAATCTGAAGAGGATTATAATCCGGTTGAATGGGAACAGTATAGCGCACTCTATATGATGTATTCTACATATCAATGGGGAATTCATGCATGTGACACAGTGATAAAAACTAAAGAAGCGAAAAAGCTATTGGAAATGATCAAGACTGTCGAGTTTGATATTATATTACAGGATATTACATTAACTGAATGTTTATACGGATTGTGGGGGGTAAAGATAAAGCAATTTCTTAACGCTGTCTTCATTTATTTTAGATATTTATTACAATAGTTAGATTTAACTGTTTCCATTGTCACTCTGTGGGTATTGTTTTTCAGATTGCAAAAGGTAAACCACCCATAGTAGGATATATTCCGTATAGCCCTGCACCTTGGCTCAAAGATCTTATCGGAGGTCCAAGTTATCCAACTGTTCGGTCTTATGCATATTTATCAATTGTGAAACCTATTGGTTTGTGGCAGAAAACATGGAATGCTGTATGTTTTACTGTTGATGATTTCATACGACATTACTATTACTTGCCTATTATGCAACGGCTTGCTGAGAAATACGTAGGCCATACAATTAGACCATTACATGAAATAGAAAAAAACGATATTGATATTGTACTACTCAATAGTCATCCTGCATTCGAGTATGGGATTCCATTGTCTCCGAATATTTTGGAGATTGCAGGACTAAATGCTCAGGACGTAAAACCGATTGATGGCGAAATAGTCGTAACATATCCCGAGGTAAGAGAGATTGTATATATTATATTTTCATCAAACAAAATAGCTAGTTTATATTCGACTGATCGAATGTAATTTGTTGGATGCATAGGTAAGAAGCAATCATGTTTCATCGCTCGACAAGTAGATTAACTGAAGGCTAGCTATAAGTAAACGTTTTACATGCATCTAATTTTTCTTCTTAGTTTAAAATTAATAGAAATTACAAAAAATATATCAAAAAATTAACAAAAAATTATATATACTGAGGAAATTTAATGAGATGATCTCATCGAATTATTATTTACAGTATTTACATTCGAATTCTTAGAACGATTCTCAGTAAATATATAAAGTTACATATAATGTATTTGTTAGTTGTAATTTCTTACTCAATATTGTAACTATAACATAAAACATTACATACAGTTATTATCGAAATATTAGTCAATCATTATTTCACAGGATATGCGCGCATTCCTTGATGGAGCAAAAAATGGAGTCATCATAATATCGTTAGGAACAAACGTAAAGTGGAAGTTTATCGGATTAGACAAAATTAAGTTTGTTTTATTGGCTCTATCGAAAATAAAACAACGAGTATTATGGAAACTAGATATTGAAGTGCCTTTTGAAATACCGGACAATTTGATGATTGTAAAATGGATGCCACAAAGCGAAGTTTTATGTACGTTTTCTAATTCTTAGATAAATATAAAAAAATGTGATATTTAATATATATTTTCTCCATGAATAAACATTTTTTCATACTTTCTTTTATTAATGTGCGAATTCTTTTTAAGTTCATAATTTAATCTGTCTTTTTTCACAATTAAAATATCTATGAAATTGAAAATATTTTTCTTGTGATATTATTTAAAATAAAATATATATATTGACTAGAATATAATTTATAATTGAGAAAATCATTAATTTTTAGATTGTAACCTATGCGAATTGTTATTTCAATCATTTTAATGTTTCAATAAAGTTTCGCAGTACATTTAAGAAAGACACCGTATATAACGCGCATGAAAAAAAAAACATCTTTCCGTCAAATATGACCAACCCTGTATATAAAGGGCTCTTGAATAATTAATTATAATAAAATTTTATTTTAAAAATAAATATGGTAAAACACAGTAATCGAGTAAGTGAGAATAGATTAAAATGGATTGTAAATTTAATATGTTTGTATTTATTCGAATGCGTACTTTAATAGCATATGATCTATTTTTCCATTTATTTGGATATGATTGGATTGCATTTTTTATTTCGAATTTAAAAATATTTTTACAAGACATAGGAAAAATCTTTTAAAAAGATGATTTTATTTTTAGATTAAAAGACATAGGAATATGCTTTACTTATTTGCAATGCCAATAAATGAATAAAAATGCTTTGCGATCATTTATTTTATTGTTCTTGAAAGCGTATTCCTAGAAATTTGAATCCATTCCATGTTAATTCATTCTCATTTACTGGGGAATTTTTGTTGCATTAGATTTACATATTTTATTATCACAATAATATTTAAACGATTTTGTTTTTTTTTTAAAGTATCTTGTTGATATCTGTCGATAATTTTAGTTTTTAAATATTACAATTGTATTTTATAATATTTTATAATATCAGGTTAGAATTTTTAAATAAAAACTAATTTTTCTGAAAATGATTTTTAAATGACAAAATTAGATTACAAAATGTATTGTATTAACTAATAAAATGTTTATATATATGATATTCATTATAACAGTTAAGATTTTTATTATAATAAATTTCTATGTGCAGCTCATAAAAATGTCAGAGCAATTTGGACTCATGGTGGTCTTCTCAGTGCACAGGAAGCCATTTGGAAAGGTGTACCAATGATTGTAATGCCTTTCTATATAGACCAAAAGTTAAATGCACAAAGATTAATAGCTAAGGATGTGGGAATATACTTAGATATTAAAACATTGTCCACGCATACTGTATTACATGCAGTTGAAGAAATACTTTACAATGAAAGGTATCGAATTTCGATTACGTTTTAATATCGTAATTATTCTAAACAGTAAATTACATAATCAAATAATATATAATATTCGAAGTATTGTTTAAATTAATATAAGATAATACTATAATTGGTTTGATTGATTTAAACACTTATGTAAAAACTGATTATAAAATTTGGTATTCTATTTATATATCTTTTCATACTCATTTTTATTTTTAATTAATCTATTAGTACCACATTATGGGAATAACATATTTAAGTATGGCATCAACCTAATTCAATTGATTATAATTTTTATAAAAATTAATATATTGTAAATAATTGTTCTATCAAAACGTCAGATATATCGATAATAGGAAACATAACAATTTCAAGCAAATATATGTATCATAACTAACTTAACTTTGTTTTTTATTGGGACCGATTTATGTATGCAACAATAGTTTATTGTGTACTGATAATTTGAAGTCTATCAATCATCCGCTGCATTTTTGCATATTGTTCTGCTTCTTCTCTTCGTAAGCTTCTTCTAACGAAGTTTAGGTTAAGTGGCATGCCAACATATTTTGCAGAAATAGAGTTTGAAATTATTTGGTGATTGTGATTGGCAGCTGAGTCATTTTTTTTAGAGTAAAATTAATGCGTTGTGATTTGCTTTCATTAATACTCTGTGATTTGCTTTCATTAAGCTTGATATCCCAAGTAGCAAGGTGACGTTATATTGGCTGTGTTCAATAGAGAGAGATTAGTGAGCGTTCACTATTTTACTCTTTAATATGATTGATTCTTGTTTTTAATTTTTCGCTGGATCTGAGTGTAATGTAGGATATTAAAAAATTAATGAGCGCTCTCTGATTAGATTTTTCAGAACACATCCATTGATATTAAATATGTCACTAAGATATCATTTGACGTCACCTTGCTATATTTTTAAAGTACTTTTATTAGTATAAATATTATTATAATTAGGAATGAAAGTTAATTAAAAGTCATAAACAGTTAAAAACATTGAAAATGTTGGATATGCTTATATGGTATTTAAAAGTTAAAATATTCGAATGTAAGTTTATATTATACAATATTAATAGTAAAACATTTTTGGTGCAGATATACAAGAAATATGAAGCAATTATCTAGTGAATTCCGAGATCGACCGATACCGCCGTTAGATTTAGCTATTTGGGGCATTGAATATGCAGTCCGACATCCAAATGGGACTTTAGTAACTCCACTTAGATATCAAAGCTGGATGGAACAAAATTTAATCGACGTTTATGCATTTTTATTCTTTAATTTTATTGTAATATTGTTAAGTATATTCTTAACAATAAAAGTATTTATTAAGTTTTATTATTGGATATACATCACATTTAACAATAAATTACATAAAAGGAAACAAGCTTGAAAGAGAAAGAAAGAGAGTTACTGATAAATATCAACAAACACTGCATATGTATCTTATAGTTACTTCAATTAATGTTAATTTTACTGTAATGTTATTACATTAATATTAATTAATATTAATGTTGTTCCAAATAAGTGAAATTAATGTACAAATATAGAAAATGTAATATTAATCGTAAATGTTGTAACTGATGCCGTTGTTACGTACTTGTTACTAATTGTGGAAATAAATGAATGTAATAGTAAATATAAAATATCTTCGGAATTTTTATGCAAAAACTATGTAGTTAAAATTACATTAAACTTAATAACGGAATTTTTCATTACAATTTATCGGATTACGTTTTAAAATTGCGTATCACGTGATGTTTCCATTTTGATAACATAATCAGTCCTATTAAGAGCAATAACTACATTCTCCTTATCTGCACATATCATGATTATTTGCTTGCTATTATCTGATAAATGTGATTGGTATAAAAAACCATTTTTTTTAGCACGATAAACTTATTTTTTTGTATCATTATACCATAAATTAAGTTTAATCATTGAATTGATAAGGTTTTCTTATTGTCATATCCAATTTCCCATGAAAAAAAACTTTCGTTTAATCATTAATATATTATTGTATTTATTAAAAGATACTCCTTAGGTATAATTTTTGAACAAAGATTATACATTAAGTTTAAACAACTTAGCAGTAAAGAAAGACAGAAAGAGATACACGCGCAGAGAGAATACTCCGAACATTTAGATAATTCTGTACTATTCCTTATGTGTCTTAAATATCGGAAAATTTCGAAAGATTTTGTAAATATAGTCGAGTAGTCCATTTAATCTATATAGAATTTAATAAATTAAATTCTTTTATAAAAATGCATAAAAGGATAATTACCTTCACTTATACATTCCAATGTCATTTACTCAGAAATATGATACATCGTATATGTATAATATAATGTGTATATGTGTGTGTGTGTGTGTGTGTGTGTGTGTGTGTGTGTGTGTGCATGTGTGTTTATATGTACAACGTGGTCTACTTAAATCGACTATCTAAAATATCTCGCTTATTTTTGATGATATAAGAAAATGTTTCAAATGAAAGTGGAAGAGTTTCGAGACGTATATTGGTTTTTTTTTAGATGAAGGCATCAAAAGGATATGAAGATTACCATCACTTTTTTAATAGAATTGTATGATTTTTTTTACACGACATGATTCCTCTAATTATTCAGCATAAAGAAGTATTAAGATGGTAATATCAAAAAACCGACGTGACGAGATATTTTACATTTTATTCTGGCACATATTGACATAAAATATTTATTAACTCGTAAACTATTAATTTTTTTATAATCATACTTTAATACTTTTACGAACAGAATAACCAAGCCATCCTCAGAATGCAAATGAATTAGAACTGAAGTAGATAGAATAATAAACAACTCGCACATCAATGACTTGACATTATAATCTATGCGTTGTAATGTATAATACATGACGAATATGTTTTAAATTGTTACTTTAATACTGAAAATGACTTGAGGATAATCTAAAATTGAAATGTTTATCATTGTAAATGATAATATAAATAGTCTATTGCACCAATATTTTGCATTGGCTTCTATGCTTCTTCAATAATTAGTGTTAAAAGTTTAGAAAAAGCCAATATTATGTAGAATTAATTCTTATGATCACCTTAAATGTTTACATGTTTTGATAATAAAAATATTTTTTAATCAATATTAGTTTTATCCTATAAGCGCAAAATATTCTGAGAATCAACAGATTGTATCATATTCTGAGAATCAACAGATTGTATCATATTAATTGTCTCATTACATAATGGCATAGTGTACACAGTAGTGCAACTCTTTTGATTTTATGTTGGCTAAAATGGAATGCGCATGCGTGAAATCAGTAAGTTGCCGTCTCGTTTACTCCTTCTTTTGTTGTTCTTTCTCTCTCTCTCTCTCTCTCTCCTTCTCTGTTTCTCTTTCTCTCTCTATTTAAATGAGCGTTTCAATGTTCCACTTAAACATTTGTCTTTCAAACATACATGGTTCAGAGTAGAAATTTAAAGGGAAGTTTAACGTGTATTATCAATTTGGTAAAATGTGTGAGAAACCTCGAGAGATTTGTCTAATTTTTGTGAAGAAATGGTAAAGTGAAAAAGTGAAAAAAAGTAACATAAAAAACCGAGCAAGAATGTTTTTATTTATAATGTTTTTATTTATTGAAATTTAAATTTATTTTTCGGACATATATGTATATAAATTTCTTTTACATCAGCTTTCTCATAATATTTTCATAGATATCTAACATTTCTTTATACAAATATATATTTTTAAGGTAATTTAACATTTTTCCTAATTTTTCAATAAATTTTTTTTTCAATATATTTACAATTTATTTTTATTAATTTTTGTCAAATTTAAATTATTTCAATATTAGGTTTATACGCGTCGCATGCTCTAATCTGCTCCAATATATTCCTACAATAGCATTTACTCACTTCAATGAATTCATTGGATTGCGATACAAATAAATCTAGTAAGTTTTGCGAGGAATTTTGATAGAGTGAAAAAAAGAGAAAGAAGTTCTGGTGGTAACAGTGGGAACGCTAGATAATTTACTTATTTCACGTATGCGCATTACATTTTGTCCAACACTAACGTCAAAGGTGCTCACAGAGAGTTGCGCTACCGAATATACTGTGGTAATGAACTAATATTGTAAAATCATTTGCTGAATAATTTAGGTATACGATAAAATATAAAAAATAAAAAAAAAGAGTTACATAAGTAAACTATTAATAATGTATATGTAAGTGTGTACATGGCTCGTAATATTTATTAATTCCAAACTATTATAAATTATTATTGACATTGATTGAATTAATATATTTAATTTAATTTATATTTAATTGCAACAATTTTTTACATTTAATTATAAACAATTATTCGATGCAATATTGAACAGATAATATATGATATATATGATAATTATTAATTCTTCGCGCGATATTACTCTATTGGTACACATATGCTTAATAAAAATTAAAGAACATACTCAAAACGCTCAAAATTGCACAATTTTCAAATCGTCGAAACTTAGAGAAAAATCATCACAGACAAAAATATAAAAACAATACAGTATTACTTTAAATCACGATATGAACATAAAACAAGAAATAAAGGATGTCACGCACTCAATGCATGACATTCAGGTACGATTCTCGCTCAAGGTAATATTTTTTGCAATAAAATTATTTATAGATTTAAGTTGCTTAAAGATTATTATAGAGATATACTTACGAGCATCATTATTATTAAATTGCTTGTCAATTTAATTTGTGAAATTACTCTAGATTTGTTAGGATTGCGTTTGAAATCTGAAAATAAATTCGGTGCGCAGTTTGAAGGATTATGATATATAAATTTACATGGAATTATTTCAGTATTTAAGATTCAAGTTTGGCCATTTAGCCTTTATTTTTCAAAAAATAAAAAAGCATTTTCGAACTTGAAACTTGTATTTTAACATGTTTTTGGCTGTTTTTCAAAAAAATTTTTATTTTTACCGCTCAGTATCTTTAAATACCACATTGTTAGGTTCTCTAAAATTACGTACATTTAATAGTTTGCAATTCGACAAAAAATTTAATGCTTTTACAAAAAAGTACAAAGTTTTATTTGCAAAATATTTTTTTTTAATTTTTCTTACGATTTTTCTTGATCGATTAATTACTAGACTTTAAAACATGCATTTCTTATAATAAAATTTTAAATATCGACAAAAAATCGCAAAAAGCATTTGGATGTTCAAAGTTAGTATTTTAATATGCTTTTGATTATTTATAAATTTAATTCTGCAGAATTGAGAAGATACAAAAATTTTTGCAAAATTTTTTTGATTTATTGCCAAATTTCAGCGTTGATGATAAGAAATGTAGGTTTAGCTTCAAAGTTGCATAATTCGACTAAGAAAAATTTTTTTCTAAAAAAATTTTTAAAGGGCGTTTTATAGAAAACACTGTACTTTCATAAAAGTATTAAAATTTTTTGAGAAAAAATTTTGTATTGAGCTGCAGACTGTTGAATGCAGAAATATAAATCCCGATCTATAATTGCGTAAACGTAGTTATAGTTGTAATTAATCAATCACTTTTTTTACCAACTTTTGATGATCCAAAAATGTAAAATTTTGAGTGTTTTAAAAGTATTCTCTATTCTTTGTTGAATAGTATATAATGATATCTGATTTTTCGTTTCCAATGCTTCCAAAGATATATGTGCTTAGTGAGTATGTTACGTTTCTTAACTTCCGATTTTTTCGATTTAATAAAGTATTCTTTACAATATATTCATTTTCATAAAAGTTACAAGCAATCGAATTGGATTGAGTATCAAAGTATGTCATTATTATAGTGCGGCACCGAACGATTAACATACATGCAAACAAAATTGTATTAATAATGTTTATATGATGTACAACAAAATTAAATTGTGTATAATTATTATAGTTATCCATAGATATCTATGATTTCTATGATATCTATGATATTTTTATCATAGATATTATGGTAATTATATTTACAGAAAAGAAAAATGTTAAGACCCAAAAAAAACGTTTTTTAATTTTTAATTTCTTAGTTGATATAAAAAAGTTTCAAAATGTACAAATTATATATAATATAATCAAATATTAATAAATATAACATATTAAAGAATAAATTAAACGGAGTCGAGTTACGATATATGTGTATTTTAAAAAAACCCAAATCGGGAATACGAGACAAATTGTTATCAAAAGTAAATCTCATGCTTATTAATAAAAAGCATAGAAACCGTTACTTTCATTGTTATTTTTTTTTATAATAATAATTTGACAATGATGTTATAATTTTTTATTACCAAACCGTTATTATAAAGAAACGATAAAAGTAACGTTACTTTCTATCCCTGACAAAAAGTAGAAATAAAATATCCAGACATCTCAGAAATTAAGCAACAAAGACTACTGTTATAGCATATATAACTTGAAAACGATTTTAGAGCGATTTTGATGAACAACACAAAATCTAATAAAATAATTATTTAATTTTGAATTCTAGCTGTGAATATAACATACTTATCAAGTTATATATGTTACAAGTATTAATACACAAGTACTAGCAATACAATTTTTATTGCTTCATTCCCGGGATGTGTTGATATTTTATTTAACAACGTTTATATTTATTAATAATAATTTTGTACAAGTTTTCCTATGATAATCGACATATCACTCGAATTCACTTAAACAATTTTTTATAATTTGTACATACACCTCGGAACTTCTTCATATTAAAAACATTCAAAACTTAACATATTCTTTTTTATTCAATATTGATAATAAGGCTCAAAATTGGTAATAAGGCTTCTTTTTTATTATTAATTGAGGTTGAATCAAAATTTTTATATTCTAAATTCTTACAGATTTAGTGATATCAATGCCAAATAAAATATACATATATTTATATATATATATATATGCTTAAATATATGAATAAAAATATATTATACATATATATTGTACATCAAAGACATAGAGAATGGACTGCGCGATCGGTATCATATCGGTCAAAATGATCGATAAAAGTAAAAAAGAGGAATCATGGAAGACTGCCGATCTGTATCTCTTTCCATTCAACGGTAATGGGAGAGAGAATGAAAGGGAGATTGGTTATCTTTCACGATCCCTTTCTCTCATGATTGTCAACACATTTGAAAAAGTTATATAACTAATTTCTCAATTCTGTATACTTTTGTATATTTCTAGATATGACTAAATATTAATGCTTTATATGAAAGATACATAAATACCAATAAATCTCAACACTAGACACTACTCAATTACAAAATGTCAAACTTTACACTGCAGTAATTGCTTAACATTCTGCTCTTTGCCTTTGTTATTAAGTAAATTGATCTATTTCCTGACGTCAGGGACGCGATGCTTATCGAATGTGCTACGCATGCCCGGTCAGAAATAAAATCGACATTGAATCGAAATTTAAGTGATTAACTTAATTGGTTCGCGTGAAAAGTCATACACTCTTCAGTAAGAGGGGAAGATGAGATGACATTCGATTGTCCCTACTGCAACGCATGCCAGGTCAGAAATGATAATTTCATTATGATAATCCCTGACACTAAGAAATAAATCAGTTTATGTAATAGATAATAAAGGCAAAGAGCAGAATAATTTGCAATTGCTGCTGTGTAAAGTGTCATTTTGTTGAGAAGTGTCTAGTGTCGAAGTTGGTTGGTATTTATTAGTTGGTGTCTCTTTCATATAAAGCATTAATATTTTAGTCATATCTAGAAATATACAGAAATATACAGAAATTAGTTATACAACTTTTTCAAATGTGGTCGACAATAATGAGAGAAATGGATCGTGGAAGACGACCAATCTTCCATTCTCTCATTTTCTCTCCCATTACACCGTTGAAAGAGATACATATTGAAAGTCTTCCATGATTCCTCTCTCTTACTTTCAATCATTTTGACATACGGATCGCGCAGTCTATTCTCTATGTCTTTGATATACAATATGTATAATATATTTTATTTGTATACACAGAAAAAATTGAATTCCTGATTCACGTATATTTTTATTCTTGAATGCTATTTACTATAAGTATAAAATGTTCTCTTTAATTATAAATGTTCACTGGCATCAATAATAAATAGATTTATGCAAAATCTACTTTATTTTATTCTTAAAATTGTATTCTTGTTTCTAAAATCATTATATGGTTCTAACAAACTCAATCGCATTATTTACAAACTATTTATTCTTGGATTAAGGATTATAAATTTGAAAAATTCGCCGGCAGGCGACAAGTGTGTATAAGGGGCCCTCAGTAATATCAAAATGTCGGAAGTGCATGGGTGTAGTGAATGACGATTGATGGTGGTTTTGTGATTGAACTGTTGCATTCGTGGAACATACCTCTAAATGTGGTTCAATATTTAAGAGTGGATGAAATATTCGTCCTAATGTTTCTGTCACTTATACTGCAAATGAGGATGCAGGAACAGCCGGCCGACTTTGTCACTGCGACGTGACGAAGAAGCGCCTATACACGCGGGTGGATTCGCGGATCTGTCAGTTAAATGGGTGAGATAAGCAATGAATCCATCACGGTGGATCCGCCTGTACGTAGCCAGCGTTTTCTCCCATTATGACAAGGTTGATCGTCTGTTTGCAATATGGAGATTGGTAGAACGGTCTCAACATTTCACTTACATTTGAGCTACATTAATAGAGATATAATCCAAGTTTGATTCATTTTTTTGGGAGGTTGTATCCCGTGAACATTAAGAGGCATGCTCTATAAATGTGGCACTTCATTTACAAAGCTATCGTCACTTACTTGCAGCACTTGGTTTCTGTCATCTTGATGTTACTAAAAAGCATACTGAGGATTTGAAATAAATTAACAAAAGGTATCATTGAAGAAAAATTAATGTTAATGTAAGCATATTAATGTTGACCGAGTGCAACTTTATTCTTTTATTGAAATAAAATTGTTTTGAATTTATGAGAATAAAATTTATTTTATTTTACGAATAATTTATTGTTAATCGAAAATTATTTATTCTTGGCGCTATTCTAAGCATAATATATTCTTGATTAAAATATTTATGCATTTCTTAAGGAATTCATTTTTTTGTGCATGTAACATACACACACACACACACACACACACACACACACACACACACACATACATAAGTATGTTATATTCAAAGCTAGAATTTAAAATTAAATAATTATTTTATCAGATTTTGTGTTATTCGTCAAAATCGCTGTAAAATCGTTTTTAAATTATATATGCTATAACAATAATCTTTTTTGTTTAATTCCCGAGATGTCTTGATATTTTATTACTTCACTTTTTGTCAGGGATGGAAAATAATAAGTAATGACGTTACTTTTATCGTTACTTTATAATAACGGCAATAACTTGGTGATAAAAAATTATAACACCATTATCAAATTATTATTATAAAAAAATAACAGTAAAAGTAATGGTTTCTATGCTTTTCATTAACAAGCATGAGATTTACTTTTGATAATAATTTGTCTCATATTCTCGATTTGGGTTTTTTCAAGATATACGTACATCGATACATTAATCAACTCCGTTTAAGTTATCCTTTAATGTGATATATTTATTAATAATTGGTTATATTACATATAATTTGTACATTTTGAAACTTTTTGATATTAACAAAGAAACTAAAAATTAAAAAATTAAAAAAAATTTTCATTGGATCTTAACTTCTTCTTTACTGCAAATACAATGACCATAGATATCTATGATATAGATATCATAGATATCATAGATATCTATGGATATCTATGATAATTACACATAATTTAGTTTTATTGTACATCATATATACATTATTAATACAATTTTGTTTGCATGTACGTTAATCCTTCGGTGCTGCACTATAATAATGACATCCTTTGGTATTTACTCAATCCAATTCGGTTGCTTGTAACTTTCATGACAATAAATATGATATAAAGAATACTTTTTTTAATCGAAACCCTGAATATTAAGAAACATTACATACTAACTAAGCACATGTATCTTTGGAAGCATTGGAAATGAAAAATCAGATATGCCATTATATACTACTCAACAAAAAAAATAGAGAATATTTTTAAAATATTCAAAATGTTACAATTTTTGGATCACCAAAAGTTGATGAAAAATCATCACTGATAAAAAAAATAAAAAATATTTTAGAGCTTGAAACTCTTGAGTCTGATCTACAATTGCGTAGATTGTAAGTAACGTAGTTGTAAGTGGTCGTAATTGTAACAATTTACCAATCACAGTCGGATATTCTCCTCGTATTCAAGTGTGATTGATTAATTCTTACAACTACAACTACGTTTATTATGTAGATCAGGATTTATATTTCTGCATTTAACAGTCTGCAGCTCAATACAAAATTTTTTCTCAAAAAGATTTAATACTTTTACAAAAATACAGTTTTATCTTCAAAAATTATTCGCTCTTTAAACATTTTTTTAGAAAAAAATTTTTCTTAACCGAATTACGCAACTTTGAAGCTAAACCTGCATTTCTTATAACCAACGTTGAAATTTGACAACAAATCATTGCAAAAATTTTTTGTATCTCCTCAATTCTGTAGAATTAAATTTATAAACAATCAAAAGCATATTTAAATATAAATTTCGAACATCCAAATGCTTTTTGCCGATATTTAAAATTTTATTATAAGAAATGCATGTTTAAAGTATAGTAATTGATCGGTCAAGAAAAATCGTAAAAAAATTTTTTAAAAATATTTTGCAAATAAAACTTTGTATTTTTTTGTAAAAGCATTAAATTTTTTAGAAAAATTTTCTATCGAATTGCAAACTATTAAATGTACGTAATTTTAAAGAACCTGACAATATGGTACTTAAAGATACTGAGCGATAAAAATAAAGATTTTTTAGAAAAACAGCCAAAAGCATGTTAAAATGTTTCAAGTTTCAAGTTCGAAAATGCTTTTTCACTTTTTAAGAAATAAAGGCTAAATGGCCAAACTTGAATCTTAGATACTGAAATAATTCTATGTGAATTTATATACCACAATCCTTCAAACTGCCCACCGAATTTATTTTCAGACTTGAAACGCAATCCTAACAAATCTAGAGCAGTAATTTCAAATTAAATTGACAAGCAATTTAATAATAATTATGCTCGTAAGTACATCTCTATAATCTTTAAATCTATATTTTTATTGCAAAAAATATTACCTTGAGTGAAAATCGTACCTGAATGGTTATTGAATCATGCATTGCGTACGTGACATCCTTTATTTCTTGTTTTATATTCATATCGTGGTTTAAAGTGATACTTTAATATTGTTTTTATATTTTTGTCTGTGATGATTTTTCATTAAGTTTCCATGATTTGAAAATTATGCTAAGTTTTGAGCGTTTTGAATATGTTCTTTAATTTTTTTAATATGTGTGTTACTAATAGAGTAACATCGCGCGAAGAATTAATAATTATCATATATATTACTACTCAACATTGCATAGAATAATTGTTTACATGCAATTAAATGTAAATTAAATTAAATGTATCAATTTAATCAATGTCAATAATAATTTATAATAGTAAGGAATTAATAAATACTACGAGCCATGTACATACTTATATATATATATATTATTATATATATTATTAATATATTTTAATTTACTTATGTAACTTTTTTTTTTATTTTTTATATAATGTATTATCATATACCTAAATTATCCAGCAAATGGTATTACAATATTGTTAATTCATTATCACAGTATATACAGTACCACATCTCTGTTAGCACTTTTGATGTTAGTGTTCGCCAAAATGCAGTGCGCATGCGTAAAATAAAGAAGTTACCTAGCGTTCCCACGGTTACCATCTAAACTTCTTTCCTTTTTTATCTTTTTTTCACTCTATCAAAATTCCTCGCAAAACTCACTAGATTTATTCGCATCACAATACAATGAATTCATTGAAGTGAATAAGTGCAATTGTAGGAACATATTGAAACATATTAAAACATGCGACGCGAATAAACCTAATATTGAAATGAAATAATTTAAACTTGAAAATTAATAAAAATAAATTGAAAATATATATTTAAAAAAAAATTATAGAAACATTAGGAAAAATGTTAAATTAACTTATAAAGGTATATTTGTATAAAGAAACATGTAATTATATATCTATAAAAATATTATATTATTATGAGAAAGCTGCTATAAGAGAAATTTATATACACATCCAAAAAATAAATTTAAAATACAATAAATAAAACGAAATCGTTCTTGTTCGATTTTCTATGTTACTTTTGTTCACTTTTTCACTTTATCACTTTTCACAAAAATTAGACCAATCTCTCGAAATTTCTCACACAACATTTCCCCAAATTGACAATACACGTAATGCTTCCTTTTAAATTTCTACTCTGAACTATGTATGCTTGAAAGACGAATGTTTAACTGGAATATTAAAACGCTCATTTAAATAGAGAGAGAGAGAGAGAGAGAGAGAGAGAGAGAGAGCGTAATAAAAAATGAAGGAAAAGAGATGGGGAAATTTACTTATTTCATACATACTCCATTTTGGCTTACATAAAATCAGAAGAGTTGCGCTATTGTGCCATTATGTAATGAGACAATTAATATGATACAATCTATTGATCGTAGAATGAAGACAGAGGAAATAAACCAAAATATACTGAGGCATTTAATCTTGAAATTTGATTTAAAGACTACATAGAAGATTTTCAAGTTTGTCACAACATGTCGAGTTGTTTCATTTTGTTGTTCCACCTTGTGTGTTGTATTTTAATCGGCCTCGTGACGACATCGAAACCATTGTCAATTTTATTAATAGAGCCTCTTCCATCGCGCAGCCATCATATCTGGACGATGAATTTAATTAAAGGATTGCTTCTCAAAGGCCATCATATACACGTAGTAAGCACATATGAGACTGAAATCAAAAATAAACTTGCGCAGAACTTGACGTACGATGTAAGTAAATGTTGAAATGTTTTAATTATAAATTGATTATTTTAAATTTGTGAAACAAATGCAAAAGAATGTAATCTTTCGGTTTTAAAATATTATTTTATACTGTACGTATCTCAAATCATTATATTAGCTGAGCTCCCAATATATTTTCATATTTCTATATATTTTTTTCATCAACAGTAAAGAATACTTATTATTTTTAGGTATTCGATGGTTTGATGAAAGCAATGGAAGAATCTGAAGAGAATTATAATCTGGTTGAATGGAATACGTATAACCCACTTTATATGATACATTTTGTATATAACATATGGGGAATTCATGTATGTGACACAGTGATAAAAACTGAAGCAGCGAAAAAACTTTTGGAAATGATCAAGATCGTCGAGTTCGATATTATATTGCAGGATATTACACTAAATGAATGCTTATACGGATTGTGGGAGGTAAAGATAAAACAATTTCTTAAATGTTAGTACTGACTTAACTCATCACTTAACTCAACACATTTTTCCTATTTATTAACAATAACTATTTCCATTGTCACTCTATGGATATTGTTTTCCAGATTGCAAAAGGTAAACCACCCATAGTAGGATATACTCCGTATAGCTCTGCACCTTGGCTCAAAGATCTTATCGGAGGTCCAAGTTATCCAACTGTTCGGTCTTATCCATATTTACCAATTGCGAAACCCATTGGTTTGTGGCAGAAAATATGGAATACTGTATGTTTTACAGTTGATGATTTCATACGACATTACTATTACTTGCCTACTGTGCAACGGCTTGCTGAGAAATACGTAGGCCACACAATTAGACCATTACATGAAATAGAAAAAAGCAGTATTAATATTTTATTACTCAATAGTCATCCTGCATTCGACTATGGGATTCCATTGCCTCCGAACACTTTAGAAATTGCAGGACTGAATGCTCAAGCCATAAAACCGATTGATGGCGAAATAGTCGTAACATATTCCGAGGTAAGAGAGATTTATATCAAACAAAAAATGGTTAATCTATTAGTGATCGAATGTAATTGGTTGGATTCATAGATAAGAAGCAATGATATTTAATCGCTCGTCAATTATGTTAACTGAAAGCTAATTACATGTAAACGTTTTATATGCATCCATTTTTCTTCTTACTTCAAAACTAATAAAAATTGCAAAAAATATATATTAGCAAAAAATTATACATAATAAAGAAATGTAATGAGATAATCTCATGAAATTATTATTTATATTTCCTTTCGAATTTTTAAAACGATTCTCAGTAAATATACAAAGTTACATATAATATACTTGTTAGTTGTAATTTCTCACTCAATACTATAATAAATGTAACATATCATATAGTTATTATCGAAATATTAGTTAACTATTAGGTGTTGGAATTAATTCGTAGCGTTTTTTAATGAAAGAATGTTATTTATTTCACATGAGCATTAAAAAATACATTAATGGAAGTACTTCCCATCACTTGTAAAACCTAATATTATTTCATAGGATATGCGCTCATTCCTTGATGGAGCAAAGAATGGAGTCATCATAATATCGTTAGGAACAAACGTGAAATGGAAATTTATCGGATTAGACAAAGTTAAAGTTGTTTTATTGGCTCTGTCGAAATTAAAACAACGAGTATTATGGAAGCTAGATATTGAAGTGCCATTTGAAATACCGAACAATCTGATGATTGTAAAATGGATACCACAAAATGAAGTTTTATGTACGTTTTTTAAATCTTAGAAAAATATAAAAAAAAAACATCATAACCGATATATATTTTCTCCATGATATTTTTTTCATATTTTCTTTTAATAACATGTGAATTCTTTTTAATTAAATTTATAATTTAATCTATCTTTATTCACAATTAAAATGTCTATGAAAGTAAATATTTTTTTTTGTGATATTATTTAAAATAAAATATATTGACTAGAATATAATTTATAATTGAGGAAATCATTAATTTTTATATACTATCGATGCGAATTATTTCAATCATCATTTTAGTGTTTCAAAGTTTCGCAGTAACTTAAAAAATATTTTCGTTTTATATAAAGGTCTCTTGTATAATTAGTTATAGTAAAATTTTATTTTAATAATAAATATAGTAATACAGTAACCGAGTAAGTGAGAATAGATTAAAATGGATTGAAATTTTAATCTGTTTGTATCTTTTCGAATGCTGTACTTCAGTAGCATGTAGTTCATTTTTCCATTAATTTGGATATGATTGGATTGAAAAAACTGTATTTCCTATTGCATTTCGAATTGAAAAATATTTTCACAAGACATAGAAAAAAAGCTGATGTTATTAGGTGTTGGAATTAATTCGTAGCGTTTTTTA